ATGAATAATATTTAATATGAATGACTTAGTTTCAGTTCACAATGATAAACTAACAAGGAAACACATTCAAATATTAGAACTTATGATTATACACTTTGCTCAACATATTACAAAGTGTTATGATATTTACATGCTGTTGGCTAACTTTAGCAATTCTGCCCAGTTTTGTAAAAATCATAGAAAAATCATACGAAGTCGAAAACTAGATCCGTAAATTCTGAGAGTTCACAAAATGTGTCTAGTTTACTCATAATTTTTATCACGATTTTTAATGACCTCCAACTTGGGTGAAAATGTCCATAATCACAGACTGGTCCGGATTGTTGTTTGAAATGATAGGCAGTTTTGTAAAAATCACCATAAATTGTAGAAAAATCGTATGGAGATGTGCAAGTAGTCATTTTAAAGCTACAAACTTGAACTATTTGCACCTTGTACAGTTTTGAAAACAAAAATGTTTAAGATGCCCAAAACAGTCCGTGAATGGAGTTGAACTTTTCTGATGAAGGCTGTTAGAAAATTTAATTATGTTCTTAGTGTTTTAACTTGTATTCCCCCCCTGAAAACTTGAGAAAACATGAAAATGTAGGGGTATGAACTCACCTTAAGTGATTTCAGTAGGTAAGTGTTGAAGAAGATAAGTGTTCAACCCAAGAACACTTGAAGAATCACTTGAAGATTCGAAGATCTAACACAATTATGAGAGAGTTTGTCTAAGATATCCATGATTTGAGTGGAAATAATTGAGATAATCATAAAGAGAATGGATCATTCTTACCAAATGTGGAGGAAAATCCAAAGATCAGCCCTTGAATCTCGAATTTCTAGAGAGAGAAAGTGAGAGAGGAAAGAGTTTGATCTTCTTGTGAAATGAGAGCAAATGAGAGAAGTGAGGAGAGAGGATGAATATTCAGCTCTCAAAAACGTGGGAAAGAGTGATAATTGAGTGGAAAGGACATTGATGTGACCTAGGTAAGGTGGGGAGGTGTGGCTGGTCATAGAGTGGGTGTGGGAGTGGTTGCTTGTGTTATAAGGTAAAGCAAAGTCAACACTCCACCTCTTTGTACTTTACCCACTTGCTTTCATTATTTAAATAAAGATTTTTATGAAAATATGATTAAATTGTGAATATTTAGGGTTTATTATGTTAAAATATGATTTTGGGTGAAATTCCCACGTTAAAATAATTAAAAACGAGCCTTAAACGCAAAACTACGCGAAAACCGGGAGAAAATGAGTTCCCAGCGAGACCTCTCGGTCCTAGGCCGAGGTTCGGTCCCTAGGCCGAGACTCGGTCCATGCTGAGGATTGTAGCAGGAAACGAACAGAGGGAAACGAAAGGGATGGGCGAGGGTTCGGTCCGAAGGGTCAGTAGCGAGGGTGGGGTTCGGTTCGGGAATAAGAGGCGAGAATGTCAGAACCGAACGGACTGTAGTGAACAGTAGTGAACAGTACCTTCGGTTCGGTTAGTGAACAGTACCTTCGGTTCGGTTCCTCTTGAGCAAGGTTCGGTTTTGGTTGGTGGTGAACAGTACCTTCGGTTCGGCTCAGGAGGGTTCGGTTCGGCTCCTCTTGCTCTCAGTCCCTAAGAGGACCTTCGGGTCCTAAGAAGCTTCTCTCTTGGTTTCGTTTCCTAATGTCTATTTTTCTCGTTTTTACCCCGTTTTAAGCTGTTTTTGACACGGTTAAGCGTCGGAATGACCCGAATGATTCTAAAAAGTTACGGGAACTATTTGAGAGAGATTCGGGAGAGATTTCTCACACTTGGAGAGATTTGGGAGAGATTTGACATTCTTGGAGAGATTTCTCATACAAAGAGATATTTGCGAGAGTTTTCACATACTTAGAGGGATTTGGGAGAGATTTGACATTCTTGGAGAGATTTCTAATACAGAGAGATATTTGAGAGAGATTTCGCATACTTGGAGAGATTTGGGAGAGATTTGACATTCTTGGAGAGATTTCTCATACAAAGAGATATTTGCGAGAGTTTTCACATACTTAGAGGGATTTGGGAGAGATTTGACATTCTTGGAGAGATTTCTAATACAGAGAGATATTTGAGAGAGATTTCGCATACTTGGAGAGATTTGGGAGAGGTTTGACATAGAGAGAGATAGTGTGGAAACGATTGAGAGAGGTTCCATGTGGGATAGTTGTGAGTGTCCGGCATCGAAATGCATGGTTCGTGAACCCTATTAAGCCTTGTTTAAGGATCTTACACATTCCCGATGAGTATGCAACATTGTTTTATCGGTCTAGTTCATTGATTAGAACTAGGGTTTAGGAAATTTTTAACACAAGACTTTTCTCAAGTGATGTTTTCCCATTAATATAGCAAGTTATACAGTATGAACATAACACAAACCCTAATACACAAGGTTTAATCGAGTTGACCGATCTTGACTTGATGACTTGACTTGACTCAAGATTGACGATTGTCACACTTTTGATGAAGATGTGTGGAGATCGGTCGAGATTAGACCACACAAGCGGAGTTGCATCAAACGTCACAATATACCAAATTTGTAATTTACCCCAACCAATATAATGAATTGGTTAACATTATCCATAATAATCCATTATTATTATATATTTATTACAATTAAGAACATTATTCATTACAACCAATATAATTAATTGGTTACCGTTAGCACCTAACATCTCTTTTGTTTTTATTTTTCTTATTTTTCAAACGTGTTATAATACACGACCCGGTTAAGTCCCGCCTAAATTTCTAAGGCCCTTCGACTTTCTGTTTTTTCAGTTTTAGCCTGAGTTTACGTGTTGCGCTGTGATTCGCCTGGTCCAACAAGGCCCAATCAGCATAAGTCCAAACCGTTCACAACCTAAAACTAACCCTTTAAGTTATAAGTCTTGTGCATTTAGCCCAAAATCACAATACTTTAAGGTCTAAACTTTATTCTTGACTAAAATAAAGTCGGATATTTCTAAATAAGAAACATCCTGAAATCCGATGTTACAAGTGGACTTTTTTGGTTTGAGAATTTGGCCACAAAAAAATGGGAAAATGACTCTTGAGGGTAATTAACTTTTGCGTTTGTACTCATTTGTCATTTTCCTTTTTTTTGTATTCAATATATCATCGAACTTATTGTTTGCGTTCACCATAACCTTTTTGACCGGCTTTTGACCTATGATAGCCGGTCAAAGGGTTATGGTGAACACAAACAACAAGTTCGATGGTATATTGAGTACAAAAAAAGGAAAGGGACCAAATGAGAACGAACTCAACAGTTGGTTACCCTCCTGAGTTATTTTCCCCGAAAATTTAAATGAAATTAAAGTTGCAAAATTATCAAAGATTGCAACCTTCTTTGGTTATAACGTGTATAAAGAGCGTTTCAAAGGGGTAACCTTGTTAAAACATGGTCTACGTTATGCTTATTGTGGTTAGCTGTCAACACCTCTCTGCAAAAGGATATGACTGTGTATGAGAGGTATATTTATCAGCATAAACGTTTATCTCAATGTATATTATGTGATGTATCTACAAAAGCAGCATGATATTGTACATATTGATGTTGTATCTTATCCCATGAATTCGATCTTAAAGCTAAGTAAACTCAAAAATCACAACACTTGTGATTCCACTCGTTTGTAGACTTGTTTAGAATCCATGATACGATAAATCATTTGATTGGAAATGTAAATATAGTCATGAAATGCGACTGCTTAGTCAAGATTTTCCTAATAAATATTCAAGTGCATTACAAAGTTGTACATGTATGAATAATGTTCTTTCGTGGGTTATGTTTTGAAGAGAAGCAAGAATAAATCTCATAAAGTCATTAGTATCAGTAGGGATGACGTGGGATTTGTTGTAAATGAGTAAAAGGAAAATGAATCAGGAGGGTAACCAACTGTTGCATTTATTCTCATTTGGCCCCTTTTCTTTTTCTTTTTTGTACTCAATATACCATCAAACTTGTTGTTTGTGTTCACCATAACCCTTTGACCGGCTATCACAGGTCAAAAACCGGTCAAAAGGATTTTGGTGAACTCAAATAACAAGTTTGATAGTATATTGAATACAAAAAAAAAATGACCAAATGAATACAAACGTAAAAGTTAATTACCCTCAATAATCATTTCCCCAAAAAAAATTGGTATATTCGGATATTTAGTCTCTACAATTTTTGGGTTTCATATTTTAACCACATAACAATTATGTTTATTGGCTGGTTGGGTCCGTAGATATTTTGGGTCTAAGACTTTAAACACAACACTTTTTTAATGTTGACATGTTATATCCTTGTATAGAAGAAAAATTATAAAAATTATCCAATAATTTACGGATGAAGTCTTTTTCTACATTAACAATCCATATATTTAAGATTTTCTTATGTTGGTAAGCTTGGCTCCTATCTAGAAAATAAATTACAAAAATTATCCTCTATTTATAGAACATGTATTTAAAACAATTACAAAAATAACCATTTCCTAATAGAAAAATTACATATTAAGTCTCCCGCAAAACAAAGGTAATATCATCATAGTTTTATTAATTTATAGATTACATCCGAATTACAACTTTTTATTAAAATTAATTTTTTACGAACTTTTTAATAATATTTTTCTTATAATTTTTACAACTTTGTTTTATAAAATTTAGTTTTATATTTATAAATTATATTTTGTGCTTATTTCACATTTTAGATTTTATGAATTTGATTTTACAGGTCTTTTAAGATTTTTTAATTTTTACAAATTACATTTTTCTTACAAAATCATTTATTTCCGTAGTCGTTCACGAAGGATTTTTTTTTTTTTTTCTTTTTTGACAAAACCGGACCATAGTTTCCTACAATTATTACAGCTGTTGAAAAGGCATAGGCACCGGCAGGGTGCAAGCATAGTTTTATAGAATTATTTAAAAGTGTTAAAAAGGCAATAGGTTAGCTGAAAATTGAGTTGATAATAGTAATAAAATGCAAAAACTTTACAAAAATGGGTGGATTGCTGAAAATTGGTGGGGGTTACTTGTCCTTATTTCGGGAATAGGTGGAAGATTTGGACTGGGATGGGAAAAAGTCGAATGCAGCCCCGGGCCCGAAAGAGCGTCTGACGGCATTGGGTGAATCTGAGAGAAGCGGCTCGAAAACAGAGTTGCGGCCATTCTTGGACTGAGAAATTGACAAGGGGGCCAGATCCAGATCATTGTCTAATAATAATGATCTTGGCTGCGGTTCAATGTTTCCAAGTGAGAGGATGGGGCCACCCAAGCGCTCCGCTTGCTGAAGAATGTTGATTTTGCTTGATTTGTATGTGTACCTGAAGTACTTCAAAGCTAGCACCGGACCCATCCCAGCAGCTACTATCAGCTGAAATTATATCCAAACACAACAAATAGCTTTTTAGTTGCGTTTTGTTTGTTTTAGTCAATGTTCTTTGACCATATATCATCATATGGAACAATAGATATCTGTCCATTCGTTATATTTTTTGGTATAATAAACTCCTATCTTTAGAATTAAAAATAGCCTTACTGTCTTTTGCACACAACACAGTAAGTACACAAGAGAAAAGATGGAGAGTGATGAAAACTTGCACTTTTTGTCTAGTCTAATATTGGTTCCCATTTGCTGGGAATTTGAGTACTAGGAGAAAGAATATGCAAAAGGGATGGATGGATGCACTTACAAACATAGTATTCCAGTAAGAGGGCTGTCTACACAAGCGATGCATGATTGTGTACATCCCGGATTGTGGCACAGCACTCACAATCCAATTGATGATATAGAAAACCACTAAATTTCCCCATATGGCAACATGTTGGAAGATTGTAAATGAGCTGCACACATACACATAATTGATAATTGGTAAACAAAGTGAATAAGTTTCAGTTACCAAGCTTTCAAGGCCTATTTTTTTGGGTGGGGGTGTAACAAAAAACTGCGACTTCTATCCCACGGACAAACTTTCTGGGGCGGGGCTATTTACATTTTAAAATGACATTTGTGGATTTGATGAGAAATGGATGCCAATTATTTGTCTTCTGTATAGTCCGTCTATATTATTATGGGGACATCAGTCTAATTCACGTCAACCACAAAAACAGATCTTTTCACTTACTGCACTCCTTTTTTCATGTTTTCCATAGATAGAGATCCTTCCTGAGTTTCGGTTTCATATAATTTATTTTGAAGCAGCATGATTCGTGTACACACACATTTCTTTTTCGACGACATTATTAAATACAAAAAAGTAAATATATAATAAATCTTTGAATTTTTTTATTTTAGACAAGTGTTACGCTCACTGGACAGGATAGAATAGTAGAACAGGTTGTATTATTGTATTACGTATATGAGACAAAAATTGCAACTTTTTTGTCCTGCCAAAGGTGGGAGACTGGTTTGAGAAAAAGACGTAAATGCCCTTTTCATCCTCATTTATCGAAAATAGATGTATTGCTCTGTCGGAATCGGAAGAGAGGGAAATATTTTCACAAATACAAATGGTGAAGATGAATTCTAGTAGTTGAAATCACAAGTGTTGGTAACTTACTTGGTCTCCAATGTGACCACAAAAGCTTGTAACCAGACACAGCCAGAAAGTGCCACCATTGATACCTCCTCCAACCCACTTTTCTCAAAGGCATATGAATGTATGGTTATCACAAACACAACAATCGCCTGAAAAAAATAATAATCACCACTGTAAATAATAGGGAAATATGGAGTAGCCATATATAGATATAGCAATGGATAAGAATGAAATATTGATGCCATGGTCATGTCGACCAAATCAAATCAGCTTCTTAACTGTGAAGATGAGAAAAGCATTTCATTAAGTTTCTTTTGTTTTTGTTTTTTTGAAGGATAATATATTAGCTTATTTACCCACATAGGTTATGTTTGCTTGCATTTTAAAATAAAATAAAATAAAAATGATGAGCATGAGTCATGAGTCATGAGACATGATGGATGATATTCATAAGATAAGAAGCGCCAATATGAAATGGTAATTAAGAAATAGCACTGACATGAAAAAGAGCACGCCCAAACCATCCAGCAAATGTAGTAGGATTGAGAAGCCTGTTTAAGAAGAAGAATATTAAAGGTTAGGTTAACTAGAACCAGAACTGAGACATGAATGATAAGAAGAATCCATCCAAAGTCCTAACTAACCTCCCTGCTTGGCAGTAAAATAATATTTGCGGGTGCTGCATAACAGTTTTTTCAGTGAGATCTTTGTCAAGAACACTGACTAGAACAGGAACACTGGTGTAGAAAACATTATAAGCCATGAGGCTCACAGAGTTGAAAAGGCTGGTGCCAGATACACCTGAAACGAATGAGAAACTGAACACAATTTAAGTCAGTAGTTGAATTATATTATAACTTATAAGAAATAACATCTCCGTTTCTTACAAAAGAAACAAGACAGGACAGAAAAGGTAACATCATGTACTGCATTCGTCAATGAATCCCCTCCTCTCCTCATACTCTTAAAATAAATATGTTATCTATCATTTACACATACAACCAACCAAATTCAATTTTTTACCATTTACCAACAACCTATCACAACCAAAAATATATATATCATATACCAGACTTTCAAATAAATATAGAAAATCCATCAATATTATACTTTATTTATAAAAAAATTTAAAACCATGTATTTAATATATTTTTTACAATTTTTAGATAAATATATTATCCAATAAATAACTATTAAAACTAAAAAGAATATATATATATATATATATATATATATATATATATATATAAATTACACAAATGGTCCCTATGGTTTGGGGTAATTTGCACGAATGGTCACTACCCAACCTTGCCACACAAAAATAGCAATGATGAAAACAGTAGTAGTAGTAATCATAATGATAATAATAATAATAATAATAATAATAATAATAATAATAATAAGGATGAATGAAAGAGATTAACATAGGTTGTTGCAAGGGGGGGAACTCACAAAATCTGGATGAAGCATATGAGTAAGGATTTATAGAATGAATATTGTGAAAGAAATGCGGTGCGGTTATATGAATATCTCCCATGGACAAGTATCAATCTTTTAAGGAACCTGAACTCTGCATAGTAACACAAATGGAGATATTACTTCCTGTGCATCAGGGTATAATAAACTTAAACAAAAGAGCAATTTATTGCCATTTAAAACTAAGTTAATAATATTTTAAATAATTCTGAGACATGTGAAATTATTGAACCCATAAATAATCCCAAAAGCAATGAATGAGAACCTAAAAGAATGATGCCATGGACAGGAGATGTTTCTTTGGAAGAATGGGATTGACGAAGGTAAGGAATGAGTCTGTTTGGTGATCAATAGGAGCGGAATGTATTTAGATATGACTTTTTTTTATATAATATGCAGAAACATATCTACTCTATGATTTAATTATAATCAATGAAGATTTTATCCATGAACATTAATTAAATAACTAAACCTAATAGATTAAATGTTCACCTAAACCCAAATAAGTATTTAGTAAAAGATATATATATATATATATATATATATATATATATATATATATATATATATATATATATATATATTCTAGCTATTTTTAGAAAATAAGATGGTAATATAATTGAAATCATGAATCATGAATTGATAAATAAATGAATAAAGACGGGAGGGAGTTGGGTGATATTGCAAATTATAATGTTGTTCCACTTCCACAATGGAATGAGAAAACAAAAACAATTGGAAGGTTGGTAAGGAATGAAATTGAAGAAAATGGTATTTGTTTCCATTCAGTTAGTTGTTTTCATTTCGTAATCGTATTGCTGGCTAAAAGAGAAAAATAAAAATGCAGTAGTAGATCTATCTTACTCCCAATACTGTAATCAGCTGCTCTTGCTGCCTGTAGTCCTTCTCTCCCACTTATGCCAACACCAATATCAGCTTGTTGGATCATCCTCACATCATTCCCACCATCCCCAATGGCCAGGGTTCTGTAGTCACAAGATTTAAGAAGCTCTACAAGCTACAATACAAAGAGCTTTAGTACCAGTCCAATCACAGAATATAATAATTATAAACAAACAAACTAGTACCTGTGCTTTCTGGGATGGTGTAACCCTACAACATATAGCTGTCCGTGACAATATTGCCAACTCTGTGAATGCTTTCCGGTAATACTTGAGTGCAATTTCAAGAGCCCATCCATCTATCACAAAAGCCACATCCTGCAACATACATACATACATACATACATAAATGCCTTCTAATTAAATCAAACACAACAACCATCAATAATAAATCATAAATGTAACTCATTTCTTACCTTAGGTTCTGCTTTTGTTATCCTCATTGTAAGCAAAACTCTTTCCAGATTTCTGCAAACTTCATCTTCTGTTTTTCCATTAACTAACAGAAGCTGCCCTTTGGGTTCTACAAGTACAGAAAGAAATTTGAAAAATCATAAATTCTAAAATTTAACTCATCCTTCCTACTCAAGATACTTAAGGTAATTAATAACAACATAATTTTGTTGATTTCTTTCCAGGCACAGCATTGTACTTTGAAAAATCTAAGGATCATCTACCCAATTATCATCCAAATAAAAAAGCATTTTTTACTGTTATAACTCAAAAGTATAATAATGTCCCTAATAAGCAAAATAATAATAGCAATAATAAAGTACAATGCTATCATTGGGCAAAATTTTCAAACAACATTGGCCTTGATAAGAAAAAAAAATCCAAGTACTAAGCTGTAACAAAAAGAAACCAAGTATAAATGAAAGTACACTGCTATATCTTGCATTTCAGGTATAGCTCAGGATAAAATATCTGACATGTAACAACAAAAGAGTGCAGTGCAGTGCAGGCTTTAGAGTCTAATCAATGAAAATTTGGAGACATTAGTGGCTTTGCTGCTCTCAAGTAATGCATTACCATCATAGGAGAGCAAGGCACTTAACAGAGCTTTTTTCCAACTTGTTTTTTATATCTTTCACCAAGTACGCATCTATCACTATTTGTGAATTGTGATTCAAATTCTACACACAAATATATGTGTATGACTATGTTTGTTGAGTGGTTTCTCAATCCCTAAAAAAATTAACTAATTTTTTAACCAAAACACTTGTAGTTTCATTGTAAACCAGCATATATAGTATATACTATACCAAATGTCAATTGCTTTTACAAAACTTCTAACGGGTAGTTTATAATAAAACTACAACAATGATAGTTGAAATAGTTTACTCTGATGTTTTTCTTTTACTTCCATTTTTTCAAATTTCATATAAAGGTAACATACTTTAGTCATTTTCTGACTTTAGGAATCCTACTAATTTCAGTCCAAAATTAAAGGACAAAACTTTGATCCAAGGTAATTTTTTTCTTGAAAACCAGGTTGTCGATAGAAAACCTTTTCGTGTATATATGTATAGAGGTTTCTGTGTGTGATATGCATTCAAGAACAGAGAAAAGAAAAAAGTAACGGAGAAATATGGATTAAAATACTTGTTTTTTTTTTCTTATAAAAGCAAAGCCATTGAAATTATCCAATAAAGACTGTGTTTGTTGCACACACAGGATAGGAGAGGACGGACAGGACAAGCTTTGTAGGGCTATTTTCAATGATGAGGGCATTCACGTCTTTTGCACAAAAAAAAAGACTGGTCCTGCTTCTGGTTCCATCCCACCAAAAGTGGCACAACATGTTATGCATATCAAGTCCTTCTTAACAATCCCTAAAGAAGAACACCCATGTTCCTTTGAGGTTTAGGTATATCTAGATATGAGTAAGAGAATGATCCCTTCCCAGTTCCCACTACAAAGTACAATCAATCACCAGTCACAAGTGAGAAATATTTGCAGATGCCTTGGCATATATGAATCAACGTAATGGAGATTAGTTCCGTTAGAAGTCTAGAAAATCAATGTTCATGTTCATGTTCTGATATCAAGCAAGGTGAAGGTGAAGGTTTCACTACATAATTTTAACAAATATGTACCTGGGGAAACAAAATTGCAGGAAAGAGCAATCTGTATAGCGGTATTCTGTTTGTCACCAGTAAGCATCCAGAAATTTATCCCAGCTTTTCTGAGGGTTTCAATCGTCTCTGGCACACCATCCTGAAAAATATGCGACATACAAAAACTATAATGCTTCTTGGGTTGGGTTGCCAAAATAAGAGCATTGTACGTTGAAAAGTCTACTTGTTTATAGTATGTATGTATGTTCCTATTTCTTGCATTTCAGCTGCCAAGCTAACTATATCTGCTTCAAAGAAAATAAAGATTAACCTGTAAACGGTCCTCTATCGCAGCAACCCCAAGTATTTCAAGGTCATGTTCCAATCTTTGGCAAACCTCAGCTACTCTCCACTACAAAAATAAACCGATCATGTGAAAAAGAAAAATGAACAGACAATATCAAGATATAAAATAATAAAAATATAATGGTTTACACCACCCAACCAACCAGCCCCATGGACCTGACTTATGGATGCTTGCTGCCAGGTCAAGCAAAAGCATGTGATGATGTCTTTATGTTGTATGTATGTACGTATGTATTTATTTGTACCTCTCTGTCAACTAATGTGCTATTAGCCTCTTTAAACATCACAGACCAATCTTGATATTCCAACTCATTTAATTCACGCCAAGCCAAGCACAAAGTCCGTAGCCCCATTTGGGCATATTGATCTACAGCTTCAGAAAATGTCTTGGTTTGATGTCCTGCCAGTGCCACATTTTACAAGTAGCTATTTAAAAAACTTATATTATGATTTATGACCAACACGAGGAACACGGAATGCTTACCCGCATATGCACATGGAAGAATAGTTTCATCTGCTCCTTTCGACAAAAGCATAATATTCCCCTTATCACAATCTCTAACAACCACCGACATTCTTTTCCTATCAGAGGTAAACTCCAGGTACTCCAGCACCTCATACTGCTTTAACGACCCATTAAAGTTTATTTCTGCACACATAGTATTTTCTTTTAAATTACTAGCATAATTCAAATATTTCATTTAAAGGAACAAGGATGAATTCATACCAAGTATGTTAGAATTCTTGTTAACAAAAACCATATGCAAGGAAGCAGCTGCACGCACTAGAGCTTCCTCATCCTGCGACTGTGCCTTATATGAGACCGTTCCGCTTGGGCTGTAATTATTTGTTTCAGGTACAATTACATCATGCAGAAAACACAAAAACCAAAATGATGCAGCTTTCTTGGCGAAACAAGAGTGAAATGCAAGAAAAAGCAAAGCACTTTCACCTCATTTGTTTATTATAGCATCATACTTTTTATTCCTCCTATTACACTTACACCATCATAATTTGAAAAATCTACCCGATTATAGCAATGTCACCAAGCAATTTTCACTGCTATAATTGGTACATATTCAAGACTACAATCTCCTATCAAGAAGAAAACTGGAAGTACATTGTCATTGATATAAATTAAATGGAGGACTTTGCAAAGTACAATGTTGGTAATAGTAAGATATCGCTATTTCTTGCATCTAGCCAGCAAAAAAAAAAAAAAAAAAAAAAAAAGCCAATGAGGAATAACCTTTTGATAGAATGACAGTGTTACATATTGCCATAACCGTCAGAAATCTAATAGCATCTGGTGAAGCAGTATTGATGGCATTGAGAAGCTCCACATCTGTAAAAAGTACATTGAAAGAAATTTTAATGAGAAAGCAAGAGTACGTAGTATAAAGTAATCCTACATAAAGGAAATAACTAAATAATGTGTTCTAAAATCATAAATTTATAGAAATGCTTAAGTATTAATTATTTAATATTTCACTAACCATATTGATTTTTTAACTATATGATAAAAATAAAAAACAAAAAACATTTGATAGAAGTATACGCAAATAATAATAAACTATAAATAATGAAACACTTAAATACTTTTTTTGGAAAATTTCATCACATTTGGGGAAACGGAAAGGAGAGACAGATGATGGAAAATTTGTAAAAAGTTAGGACTTTATAAAGAGACCATTCCTTTCCCTGATTTATCTGTTAAGTCATTCTATCATCTTTATGCATTTTGTCTTTCTCTCTCGCTTCCTTAATCCTTATCTTATAGGGATGAACATTTTAACCGAAAAAACCAAACTGGTAGGAACCGATAAGTGGTATCGTTCCGGGAAGGTTCGCGCTTATCTCGGTTCCGGTACCGAACACCTTCTTAGATGGCACACTTTCTAGTAGAACCAAATCAGAACCAGAACCAGAACCAGAACCGTTTAGTGGTATTCGGTCCAGTTCTCAGTTCCTCCTTCACTCCTTAATCGGTCTTTGGTTATTCCGGTTATAGAACCGGTTAGATCCCTACTTCCTTATATATATATATATATATATATATATATATATATATATATATATATATATATCATTCATCTCAGTTGTTCACTCCAATACCTGAAGAAGATCGAGGAGGTTGTGGTTCCTTTATTGTATGTATCAGGTATGTAAGTTATTCTATTAGGGTTTATATATATATATATATATATATATATATATATATATATATATATATATGATTTGGTTCCAGAAACTTATTAAAGCTTTCCTTGTCTTTCTTCTCTGCCATCTCAATTTCAAGTAATACCTCTTTACTATCAAATTATTACAGCTTAGGAGAAAAAGACAAACCTTTCACAGCATCTCCATTCTCATTACCAAAGAATGTCCCCAATGCAACATCTCTTAAAAATCATCTTATTTTCTGTAAGTGTCCCTGTTTTATCTGTCAGTATGTACTCAACTTGACCCAGATCTTCACTTATTGCTGTGCTGCCATATAAAAAAAAATAAAAAAATATAGCAATAAACTGAATAAGGTGACGTAGCATATTTGGAAAAGATGATAAACAAATTACACTTTTCTTACTTTTTGCATTGGCTGAAGTGCCAGTCTCCAGGTCAATCATCTGTTTATCCCAATCAATGAACTTTGCATACAAGCTTTAACAAGATCTAATGACACCTGCCAAAGATGAGGGAAAATGAACTGGCATATCAAACAGCAAACAAACCATAAATAGAGCCTGTATATTGTAGAAGATGCTAAATGCAACAAGTATACTTTTATTATTTGTGTATTATAGCATCCTACCTTCATTTCTTTCTATTACAGCATTGTACCTCCAAATTTAATTTTTTTTCTTATACTACGTTGAATGTACCCAAAATTGTAATATCTACCCGATTATAGTAAGGGTAAATGGCACAAAAAACACTCTTTTTACACAGAAATTCTATTTTGACACCGTGTTTTTTTTGTGTCAATTTTGACACT